AACTTTGACACCAAATAACAAAACTGCCATTTGCACTTAGGGTAAATTGGTTCACTTGAGCTTCCAAGGCACCTCTTGCTCTGACATAAATTTATGAACTCGGGAACTAACCAAGTCGTGTGGTTTCCCAGCTGACTCTAACAAATATGCCCATTTCATTTCATTTAGTCATCCGGATACCAGGGGGCTCAGGGCTTCAGACTCACTGCAGATGGTGTACAGTTAGCAGGAGCTCAGGAGACTTCCATGTCACAGCCCTGCAAATTATGACAGCGGAGGGGCCTCTTTCCTAAGCACATGTCAGTGTCTGAGGTGCTCACAGCTTAAGGAGCATTTTCTCTTTCTCTACCTCCTAGGTATATGGAAAGGACATTTACTGCTGTTTAACCATGAGGTGAAAAACACACTTCCCAGATTCAGGCTTTGGTTCACCATGTTTCAGCCTAGAGCCTGATGATATGTCTGGTGGAACTTCGATAGAAGTGCAGTTTGGTTTCCGTCCTTTTGATGGGCAGAATTTCCGAGGCAGACAGTAGAAAAAGACTGAAGACACAGGGCAGTGAGCTCAGGTGGATCGGAGGAAGATCCAGTCTCACACACTGCTGGGGGTGAATGAACACTCTCCTGTCTTCAAAGGAACGTGATCAAGTACACATGAAAAAATAAAGCTAGGAACAACATATTGTCACAAAGACATTCACTCGAATGACTATCACTTAGTTGGATTTGGAATAGCAACTTCAGATGAAAAATGGGCTCAGACGTGTTTGAAGGCACAGGAGGATAGAGTCATGGTTGGTTTTGGGTTTTTATTTCATTTTTTTCCGTATCCTTTTGTCTGGTAGGGATGTGTATCCTTTTTCTAGCCCTTTCTGCATTGCAGGGGTGTACTGAAATGCTTTATAAACCTCTTCTGGATTGTTCCTCACGCATCTCTGGAAAATGGCTGCTAGCACTGTACTCACTCAGAAGAGGACACGGGTGCTTGTTGGGCTACTTAATGTGCCCCTGCTCACTTGGGAATGAGGGGACAGCAAGAATCTGGCCTATCTGACACCATCCCAATTACTCTAGTTCAATGAAGTGAGACATATTTTTCATAAATGTGTGTTTGTCTGAATTTTCCACACAATCTACTCTAGGAATAAAGAAGACAGGATGAACAGTAGTCCCACAAAGTCTGAAAACACTGCCTGAAGCACTCCCTTTAAACCTGCAACTCCTTCGAGGTCTTCCTTTTCTCTGACAAATTAAGGCAGATTCAACGTGCTATTCCAGTGTATTTGCCATCACCTGAAAAGCAATATGTGATAGAACTCATCATTGAGGACAGTTTTATACTAATCTCCTTGGCTGAGGAGTGACATACTGTTAAACTCCAGGGTGGTAAGAAGATCTGAAGAAAGTTAACCCTGGATACAGTTTCAGCATCCTAGCTCTTCTTCTTCTTCATTTTATAATAAACATGTGGGTGAAAACAGAGCCTCTTTCCTGACCTGTCGGGATTACCATAAGGAGGAGTTGCTCAAAATGTGCGGTGGAATGCCCTGACATTGCAAAATACCCCGGACGACAGAAATTTCCATAAACGCATCTTCCTGCTAAAAGGTCAAATTGGAAACCAACCGAGAGGGTCCCTGATTCATTCTTCAATCTTTTTTACTACCTCAAGCAGCACTCTCTGAAGAACATTTAAGTGGGAGTGGGGGAAGCCTGATTATATTGCTCTTATTTTACCTCTAATACAGCACCTAGGTTTCCCTCACCCATTAATGAACTGAGAGTCTCAAACGGTCTATGTAATCAATTCTCTTCATACAACTCTCAAACTTCATTTTAATTACAGCAGTCTTGTCGGGAGCAGTAAAAACAGTCCCAGTTTTGTCTTGAAGTTGAGAATTAGCCCTTGAAGAATAACTTTGAAATAAGCCCATCATGTGTATTTGCTATGCCAATAAAGAAAAATGAAATTTTTTAAATGTTCTACCCAGTCTGTATCATGACATCTTTTTTCCCCTTTATGGAGGAAAAATAGTACAGAATTCTCTAGTGCCTGAGACTGAGGTGGATCACAAACCAGGACAATTTGTCAGCTCCATGCCTGGGGCAGATACCTAGGGTGAATTCCTTTTAAAGCAATGGGAGAGACTAGGGAAAAATCACACTTTGAGGACATCATGAGCAGTACTTGTCACCGCACTGTTGTATCAGCTGAACATTTCCTGGGGTCATACAGTTGCTTCAGTCTAAGGTGACATCAGATCTCTTTACTTTACAGTGTCTTACAAAAGTTGTAGTTAGTCACCACACTTACAAGTTTCTTGTTTACTGGTGTGCGTTTTGATACATGATAACTTCATTCATCCTGTGGACTTGGCATGCTGCGTCTTGATTATGTCTACTTCCATTTCCCTTCCCTACCCTACCATCTCTACCCTTTCCCCAGATCCCTTCCCATCTCCACAAAGTCTGTCTCCCAGTTTCCTATCATCTGTCTCTTATTTTGGTCTTTAAATTGTTTATATTTTGGGTTTCTCATAGAAGACAGCTATGTGATACTGCCTGATTTCTTTCACTTAAACATCTCAGTTCACCTCAAACATTTTAGGAAGAAAAACTCAGACCCATTTTTTGGAGATAAGTAAAAGTGAGATTCTGCTGAGTTCCTGGGCTTAGCTAGGAAAATCGCACACTGCCCAAATTTTGCAAGTCAAAGTGATGTTCCAGCAGCAGGTGCAATATTTCTTGTCTCTGAATATACTTCGGCATGAGCCCACAAGCACCCATGGTACATGTACATCAGGTTAGGAGACTTGATTTTCAGAACTTTAAATAGCCACTGATAGTTTGCTTGCTCCATGAATGGAGATTCTAACCAGTCCATCATTAGTTCCCCTGCACCCAGTCAGTTCTGAGAACTGAACTGTCCTGCCCACCTGTAGAGGTCTCACTTTCCCTAAACTACCCAAAGACCACAGTACCAAGAGAGAGCATAAGTACAGAGGGATAAGCTTTGATACCAGATCAGCCTGAATTCAAGTCATAGCTGCCCCAGTTAATCCATGTGCAACCTAGAACAAGTTACTTAACTTCTCTGAGCCTTAATTTTCTTTTTAGAAGTTAATAACATTTACCTTTACAGCATCCTCCTGAAGCTAAATTCAATCAACTAATACTTATTGAACTACTACTTTGTGCTAAAAGCTAGACATAGGAGCTACACTAAGAAAAAGAAGAAAGCTCTGGCTTTATGAAATTGGCATCCTGCTGGCATGAAAAGGGATGGTGCCCACTGCTCTCCTTATCTCCTGTCTCTAGTACTTTTAATCCATCATTTACCTGCCAGTACTGTCATCTTCCAAAAATGTAGGTTGGATCTTGTTAATTCCTTCAGAATCTTAGAACTATGTGGGGATGGGAGAGAAGAGAGGGAGAAAAGTGTAAAGGATCAAAACTAATCCAAAACTGATATGTGTGTGTACTGATGTCCCAGGATGCATGTATTTATTGTGTATGACAAAGAGCTATTCAGGAAAGGAGGGGAAAGGCTACAATTTCTTAAAGAAATAATAAATAGTAGAGGTCACGAGTTTGGAAGTGAAGAAAGCAGGGCCTACTCTAAGGTCAGTACCGCAGCTGTGGAAATGGGGAGACTGCATTATTGTTAACTGAAGGAGGAGCCCAGGAAGAGCATGAGAAGAAGTGGAAAACACAGCTATTTCTGTTTTGGACCTTCTGTTGACATGGAGATCTCTGTGGGATATCATGTTTAATGTCCAGTAGGCTGTTGAAAATCTTAACTCAAATCTCTGTAAAGCCAGAGATAAGAATTTAGGAATCAATAATATGATGTAGTAGTTTCAACAATTAGGAAACATGTAGTTTAAGTAGGATACTCTAAATTCAAAATAAAAATTCTCAGTCTAGGTTGTGAAATTCAGCACAATTTATTTAGCTCCTTTCGAGAGGAACCAGTTGGTCAGTCCTTTTACTGATGATAAAAGACTTCAAAGATTTATTTCCATCTGCACTGCACAAAATCCTCAGCATCCTTGGCATGTGCAGTCTCTTCTGCCCTTAACCATCGGAGCTACAGCTACATCCCTTCTTTAGAACTCATCTCTCTTGGGTCCTGAATCCTGTGCTATTTTCTCAGAGACACTGTCTGCCCATTCCATTGTTTCTATAGTACACACAGACTTATCAAGTACAAGGTAGGTAACTGAGCCCCAGTGTTACAAGTTCTCAGATCAGAGAAACAATTTTGTAGGAAACTCCATTATATTCTTCATTCTAAGCTCCCATCCTCTCCCTGAAAAACTATGCATGTTGGTCATGACCAAATAAAACTGAACAGGCATTTAATTATGTAAATAGATTGTAAAAAAATGACAAGCCCTCTTTTCTTTAGGAAGCAGTGGTGAAAAATGACAGTTATTGGACCCAAATTTCATATGTATTTGAGGTACATAAGTCTGACTGAGTGGACTGTCTCAACTCAGCAATTAATGCACTGGGAATTCTCTAGGTAGACTGTTATTTGGGGACTTTATGGACTATTATGTCAAGGATCCGTGTCAGACAGGATGCATACACAATGCTCTATAGAAAAATTATTGTCACAAGCACAACTGACGTTTTTTATGTACCTTAAGAGTAGTAAACCTAGAAAAATACATGATACCATTCCTAATTGCCTTGTCTTTTTAAAAGTGAAATGTGCCTTTAGTTTGGCTCACCAGTAGGGTATATCTTTGCACAGAAATATTACAATTTCTAAGAAGCAGGTACAGCACATTTCTTACTTTTGGAACAGACAGTCTGATATTTTGCAACTTAGGTTTTGTGCAGCTTTTAATTGGTGTGTAAAGCAAGTATTTACCTTTCAATTGCAAGGTTTTCAATGTACGTTTTTCTGAAAGGACAAATGGTTGTTGACCATTCCTTATAACACATGTATATGTGCTTCTCCCTCCCTCTTCCTCTTTCTTTCTCTAAAGGGATCCTCATCCCCCAAATCCCTGTGGAGTACAACGTCCTACTCAATGATGGGAGTGTCACACCTCTGACCTTCTCTGTCGCTCACCAACAATCCACCCTTCTGGAAAATCTGGCTCCTTTCTCACAGTATAAGATAAGGATACAAGCATGTCAAAACGGTGAGCCTTTCAGACATTTGGCTTGGGCTTTTATGGGAAAGTATTTCACAAACAATTTTTTTTTTCACTAAAAACGGAACAGGCCCTCAGTTCACATACAAAGACTAACATTGCAATTCGTATTTGTAGTGGACTGTTTACCCAGTTAACTCAGAGCCTGGCATCGAGCGAGGCATTATGCATTTCTGCACATTAAATCATAAATATTTAAATGTATTAAAAATGGTGGTTTTGTAAAGTCTTGTTTTATAAGGCCCTACCCCACTCAAAGGAGATAGTGGTAATAAGAAACAAAGTGGGGGTCACAAAAATTTCAAGAAAATGTATTCACTTTGGTTTTATTTAAATTTAATCAGGATAAAGGAGAAGCTATTCAAAAGCTGAGTCACCAGAAATGAATCTTACATATTTTACACGGCTTCCCTGAACCCTATGTCATGTGCCTAAACTGTCACCTTGAATTCTGTGACTTAGGCGATGTCCAGTGTCACAACAGAGATCTGTCACCCTAGGGAAAACCTGCCCATTCCCTCAGTCCTGCCAAGGGGATAATTGGTTAAATGTAAACTGAGATTTAGGAGGAGAACAAGGAATCGAGAGAGCTATACATTCATTATTGGATTATCTTCATTTTACATTAAATACAGAGAATGAGAGATATAGGTACATTCACATATGAGTGTATAGTCCCCATATATGTTATGTAACTCCTAACAGCTAACTGAAGATGTAGCTCATATTGGTGCACAAAACATTTGCCTCACATCACACCACAGAAACTTTCCAATCTTGTGCTGCGTGTATGTGGGAACTCCTGTGTTGCACGTCAACTCCAGTGTTGTGGGAATTTCTGCTCCCACACAAGTGCTAGTTCCCATGGATGAAGTTAGGAGCAAAAAGCATGAGATCATTTGCTGGAATGTTTCTCTACTTCTAGATCATGGCAACTTTCTTGAAAGATGTTGTTTTTCCTGACCCAGTCTTCAGCGGATTAACATGGGACTAGCTTTAAATTAATGTTTTCTTGATTTAAGGGAAAAGTCAACTTCTGATTTCCATGTCCCTGAAATGGGGTTATACAGGCACAGTGTCCTTCTAATTGTTTAATTCCTGTGTGAAGAAGAGTTATTTATTAAAAATATTGGCAAAAATAAAATATTAAGCATGTCCAAGATGTGTAGACCAAGTCAACACTAGTGAGATTCACATGCATTATCAGTTTTTGACTAGAAGGATCCAATAAACTAGGGAAATCTTAGTTCCAAAAAGCATATGCTTGGTTGCCTATGCCTGTATAAATACGTGATTTATTAATAAGTTTTCTAAAAATATGGCCTATTTAAATGTTCAAATTTTATAGCTATGTATAGCATTGGTCTAACACGTGTATAAATATGTAGACAAAAGCTGAGACACGATGATTTCAGGGTATTGTATGCCCTGCTCTGTACACAACTAACTCTGTCTTCCTCACTTAACAAACTATTAAAGACTTTAATTCTTTTTTCAAGGAAGTTGTGGAGTTAGCAGTAAGGTGTCTGTCAAGACCTCTGAAGCAGCCCCGGAGGATCTTAGTCCCCCTCTTCTCAAGGTGCTGGGGTCAAGGTGCATAAAGGTCCAATGGATGCCACCTCAAAAGCCAAATGGAATCATCACTAACTACTTCATTCACAGGTAAGACTGGTTTTAGTTTTATAGGAATACGCACTGTTCCAAGACAGTCACATCAAACACTTCCACACTGGGGTGGAGGGGCATTCATGCTTTTACAGCACACTTGGTACAGACCAGGCAGGTGCTGAGAACTTCTATGCATTATCCAAAGACAGGAGCCACAGGCCCCGGTGCATACCTCTGTGGCTGAGATCAGTGCGAAAGCTAAGACCTCGGAGCCCATGATAACAAGTAGAACAAACCCCCGGAGTAGGCTGACCCAGATGATAAAGTCTTCCCAGAGGCGGAACCAGAGCCGGATGAAAGCCTGCCACTTCCGGTCATGTGACATGGAGGCGGGAAGGCGGCCTCTTTAGCAGGCGGAAAGGTTGCTGTGGCTTGGTCCCCAGCTCTCTAGGGAGTCACTGAGTCCACGCTGGTTGGTCAGATGGTGTGCGGGCAACTTTCACCATCATGTGCGGAATTTGTTAAGTGGGTCTACTGTACCGAAAAGAAAGAAGAGGAAAAGAGGGATTTGGAGGAGAGATTGAAGAGACAAAGAGAGAGGAGACGGAGAGGAGAGGAGGGAGGGAGGAGGGAGAGGGTGAGGGGCAGGCAGCAACAGAGACAATAGCAGTGAGAAAAAGTAAAACAAAACCCAGGTGCAAACGGTCAGAGCTGGATCCGCAACAGGAAAGACAGACTCACCCTCCGCCGAGTGTGGTGGTGCAAGCGTGTCACCCCAGTAAGCTGGGAGGCTGAGCCAGGAGCATTGATCACAAGTTCAAGGCCGGCCTGGGCAATTTCGTGACTTAGGGAGACCTTGTCTCAAAATAAAAATTAAAACGTGAACTGGGGATGTAGCTCAGTGCAAAGCCCTGGGTTCAATCCCCAGTATTGAAGAGAACAAGTGAAAGAAAATAAAAGACAAACAGTAGCACAAATCTAGGCTCTGCAGTTTGCAAGTCCCGCTCCGAAAGCAATGTCTACCTTAGACACATAGGTACAGCTCTTATCAGCTCCTCCTACCTTCAAGTTTTTGTTATTCTCAAAGGCAGCCTGGCACTTTCTTTTATTTGGTCCTATACCCTGGCCATTTAGTGAAACTTAACTTTCACCTCCTTTTGCAATTTGGATATGGAAACCCTTTGATTCAGATCCATTGACCGTGATGAGCAAAGGGCTTGTAGAAAAGTTGTGAAAGGAGAAAGGACTATTGCATTTCTGGTTATGTAAATGACATTACTGAAAATGAGCAAGCCAAATTCCTTCTCAGCAAACATTAATTTGAAGAATAATATTTCTGATTCAAATAACATGAACATGTGAAAATGGCTAATGTGAATTTACATTTTACGCTAAGCACATTAGTGCAGGCTCTAAAATGCCCATCCTCTCAAAATAGTTTTCTTTCACCTACTTAATGCTAATTGTATGAGAAAAGCACATCAAATTCCTAGGCTGAATAAAGGGAAATAAAGTATCTGTTAGCAAGCAGGACTTGGCTTCACTCTGTTGCTTTTGTAAATAAAGCTCATGATTACAGTGACTATTCCATGGCAGCTATAGAGAAAGAAAACAGGAAATATAATGCAGAAAGCCTGCTTCAATGAAAAATACTGTAAATTGAATTTGACAGCATTTGATGGCATTTGATTATTCTAGTCACAGCCAAACAATGATATAAAGAGTAATATGAAGCAGAGTATGTTACTGCCTAGCACACTCAAAAGCAATAAACCTTCCTCCAATGTGACACAATCACTTCACAATCATAATTGTAGCCTGTTTGATACCTCTGAGTACAGCAGAAGGGCACTGACTGACATAGATACATTTTGTTTTTTATTTAAAGTGAAATGAAAATGGCGTGCTGGGCTCCAGATACGATCGTTATATTCACCTACATAGGCATGAATCACGCGGCAGTTATTCCAGCTGAAGTTTAAATGTGCTTAGACAACAACAATATCACATTTTTCTTAGATAGCTGCAAAAAAAATCAGAAATTTGGAAGGACAGGAATAGAATGGAGACACACAGTTCTTTTTCATCCTGAGATGACGCAGAGCCCCTTCTATAGTTGCAGCCATGGCCTGCAGTATTTCTAAGGAGGTTATGGCATGTAATTTCTGCTTCATCATTGGCCGCCGCTTTCTTCTATTGCCACCAAAGGAAATACATTTAGCTCAAACCAAAGGGAAGGTTTGGCCCATGCTGGTATTTTTATTAAATTGCAGGAAGGCAACTTGCCTATCTCCTTTGGAATATGCTCTTCATTCTGTTCTCACCAATTCCCGCAAACCATTTTTCTTTCTGTGATTCTCTTCTATTGTTTAAATATTGCCTCCGGATATCATCCTGTTAGAAAGAAGTATCTGTCCTAATAAGGAGGTAAGATGTTCATCACTTCAGTAACAAAATGAAACGACCGATTAGAGACAAACCATTCATATGGCTACTGTAGCTTACTGCACTTGTTAACTACACTACTTTGTTGGGTACCTGTGAGTCACACAAGCAAGATTTCTTACAAAGATTGTGACAAAGAATAGGGACAAAATTGAATTTGGCGTTTTGCAGCTGATTTATTGACAGAGCAGACAAAGCCACCTGGGGCTTTTACTTCCTCTTCACAGAGAGTTTAGTTTGTATGGAGATTCTTCAGGTGCCCCTCCCCTTATCTCGGGTCAATAACTTTATAACCGGCAGAAATCTCTTCACTTTCAGCTACAAAATCCATCCAGAACATTATCTTGAGAGTTCACAAGACACACAATAAAGTTATCTGCTCTTGCTAGGCACTTCCATTTTAATGAAGCAAAATTGCATGGGTTTATAATCTCATGCATTTTCTTTATAAAATCAATAAAAATATTTCCACGATGTACACTTACAGACAAAAATTTTACACCAACACCATGTAAATTCTGTACAAATGGGAAGAAAATACAAAAGAACCTTCTCATGCATACATAATTCTCATTGAAAGAAGTGAATACTATTAATTTTTTTAAATTAACATTGATACTTTCTACTTATATTTTCCTTTACGTAAAAGGAATTGTATTATCTATGCTGTTATGTTGGAGTACTTCTTGTTAATTTATCTGTGCTCTTTACATATTAAGGAAAGTCTCCATTTTGTGGCCACATTAAAAATACCACATCAGGGCCAGGGATTTAGCTCAGTGGTTCCACCGCCTGCCTCGCAAGCTCAAGGTCCTGAGTTCGATCCCCGGAACCAAAAAAAAAAAACCACATCAATTATTTCTTCTACATATGATCCAGTGGAAAAAATATGGGATTTGTGGTCATGGGATGAGACTTCTGCCACTTATTACTTATGGGAACTTGAGCAAATCAGTTGTTCTCTCATCTTCTATTTTTGTGTAAAGTTAGGTTCATAAACATAGAAGATAATCAGTCTCCCTGAAGTCTGTAAGAAGAAAATGAAGCAGTAAATGTCAAAGTACTGTGTTGGAGGAGAAGCATAATAAAAATAAGAAGGTATCTTAGATGTGCTGTCCAAAGCTTTGCTTTAGGAAAGCAAACCTGACAGTTGTAGATGTGTATTTAAGGACAAGGAAAGAGGTTCATGCTAATAAAAGATGTTTGCAGGACAATAGGCCTAGTGTGAGCCTGTTTTATTCAAATATATAGTATGTTTTCATATTTTTATGTGCATGAACAATGTCGGGATTGTTAGATACCAAAATAATGTTAACAGGACTCATCTCCAAGTTATAGGTTATTGATGGTTCTTTTAAATACTTCTGTTGTTCATTTGTGTCTTCAAATTAATTTTCACAATCAATCTATTATATAGTAAAGATAATATGGTAATTTTAGTGAATCCAGTTGCAAATCTATTATGCCTCATTTCCTTCCCTTTAGTAGTGGGGACAGAACCCAGGGCCTTCCACATGCTAGACAAGCACTCTACTGCTGCCACACACCCCAGCATTGAGCTCACCCTCTGTACCACTTCCTGTTCCCTTCTTCCTGGGAACATCAGCATCATTTCCTGTGGGGATCAAAGTATAATTAGGAAAGAGAACTCATACCAGTTATACCAACAGAAAGAATAAATTCCCTATGATGAGTGTTATCATTGTGTATATCTAAAATGTATCAATAAAGATTTGCTGTAAAAAAAGAATATAAATAATTAGTAACTAGTTATAAATTTGTTAACTAAGTGAAAGAATAAAAAGAGAACTCTAAGATATCGTAGAGGTGCCAACTGCATGAAAGAGCTGCTACCCTTAGGCCTAAGAGAACATGGGAAATGGTTAGAATCATTAAATCTTAGAGATTCAGGGGAGGGAACCGTGGTAGCCAGGACCCAGACTTCCAAGGGGGATGCTCCTGCCACTGGTGCAGATGTCTGGGGAAGTGTGAAATGGAGTTGGAGTTTCAAGTGTAAGAAAAATAGCATATTAGAAACATCTGCTCCTAAGGGGAAGGAAGTGCTACTCCCATGTGGGAGAATCCTTACTGGGGAAACGTTCACATTAACAGCTTCCAAACAAAGCAGAGGGGAATCATTTGCTTTTTCCTTTCTGCTTCCTGACCACCCTCTGGCGCCCCCTATAGGTGGAGCTCAGCATAGAGTCCTCTGTAAAGAGGAAAGGTGCATTTCAGGGTTGGTCCCAGCTGCACCATCATAAAAGTCAAATCTAGAAGGGGAGATTTAGAGCTCAGAGACAATAACTTAAAACAGGCATGTGTTTTCTATTTAGCTGGGTTTCGTAGAGTTTGGGATTCTTCTAGTCAACCAGTAAGTGCTTCAAAACATTCTTCCTCCATCTCCTTAGGTACTGAGGAAGACTGAGGTGGAGTCATGGGCTACAGGTCCTTGTAGTGTGGTGTGACAGAGAGAAAAAGGAAGGCACATTGTAAGATAGTGTGACAAGTGAGTCAAAAAAGAAAAGCTTTGGGAGGGCACGATAACTCTGGGACCAAAGCAAAGGAAGGGCTTTTGGAGAAAGAGGCTTAGGAGTAAAGTTTGAGAGTGAGTCAGAATACAGAAAGGACAGGACTAGGAAAGAACATGAGAAGAAGCATGGGAAACAGAATTAATGGCTTCCAAAGCCATGGAAGCTTCAGATATTGTAAACCAGAGGGCTGTCGACAAGCTTCGGATCATGACTGGAATATAAACTGGGAATAGAAATTTCAGGAAGTGAATCCTGAAGGGTAGACTAGGCCAGTTGCATGGAGAATCACTAAAGCAATTTTAAAGGGGTTCACTTAAAATTAGGGGGAAGTGTTTGACATCTCTTACCCAATACCAAAACATCCACTCAGATCATAAAGCTTGGTAAGTGGGCTTTCGGTGGGCTTTTTGCACACCACCCGTGTTTCCATTTCGTCCAGCAGCACTCCAGCTTGGGATCTGCATTTATCCTCATGGGGACTGCTAGGAAGACCTCGGCGTTCCAGGCCATCTTTCTCTACCTGCCAGCTATGTTGGCCTAAGCAAAACTTTGAACATCATCTCAGTGATAACTTCAGTGGTGTATCGTGCACTACATTTTACCCATGTGCATTGCAGTGTTCGATTGCACTCACACAAGACTTCTGGGAGGTTTGTGATGTACTAGGAGGTTATTAACTCCAATTTACAAAATTAAATAGAGGTCACAGGATAAATTGCCCGAGGGCATTGAACTAAGTGGTAGAGGCAGGACCTGCACCCGTCTCTTTTGACTACAGGTATTTCTGGATATTCATTTAAATTCCAAGTGTTTTAATGGTCTTCATGGGGTGGAGTGGTGAAATTGTTATGTGAAATGCATTCAGTTTTAGGATTTTGTTTCAGCTGCTCTTGAAGATAAAGGATGGCAGTTGCTGGGAGGAAAGTATGGTGCTCTTAAAAAGATTATCCTATACCAAGACAAGATATGTACAAATGACCTCTAAAATATACATTTCCTAGTTTTCACAATTATTTTTCTTTTCTGCTTGGTGGGGGAAACATTAGGTTTATTCTAGTTGGAAAAATACATTACTGAGGATCTCCCAAATGAGCATACGAAAAGAATAACCACTGGGGTATTGACAAAGAAATAAAAATGTGATTTCTCTAAAAACAGACTGTTTTTAAGAAGAAACACTTCCAGCTAAACAAATAGTGGAGGTCTAAATTTTAAATAGATTAGGAATAATTGTGGGCTATTCAATCACTTCTGCTCAAAGTGTGTTCAGACATAAGGAGATTCTGGTTTTTAGCAGCACAGATGGGACATTTACCCCTCTATGATATTAATTTATTAAGTATTCAGTGGTGAGAAGAAATACATTAATCAGGCTGTATGTTTCCATTGTTGTGGTGGAGAATGTTGCTGCTAACATTGTACTTAATTTCTTAAATACTGTACATTTTTAAAAATTCACACTTTCAGGCAATTTTTTAAAGAATGTCAGTTTTATGCAAACTATGGCTATATCTCAATTTAGGAATTCATGAGGGTTTAATAAAAATTAATTGAATTGTCATAGTAAGGCTGAAGCAAGACAAAATAGAAAGTGTTATTTTCCCCAAAGTACTTCGCAGGTTTGTTTGCTTTATTATCTTCCTAGCAAACAGGTTTTTGAAAATCACTGAGAGGAGTCCCTGGCTCTGAGCCCTGGGGTTCTCATTAGGATGGATCCCTCCCAATGACACACCTGGTACCTGAGATCTGCAGCACACACAAAGGCCAAACTCTGCCCACCGACGTGGAGTGCGGAATCTGGTCCACGCATGGTAGCGGGGATAATGAGGTGGGCTGCTGACTGTAATTGCAGGTCACTGAGTGGGACCCACGAAGCCTCAATAGCCTCCAGCAGGACGTTTGTCATTGCTCATACTTAGGTCATAGTGATTTATCAACTTGAGACTCATCAAACTCCCAAAGCCAAAGATTTTACATACCCTGCCTTTTGTGCAAAGGTGCTGTCTTTTACTTTGTCTTAATCACCCTTTAGGTTTGGATGGAGCTGGCTAATTTGCTATGGCAGCGTGTGCGTTTTCCAGCCTCTGAAGAGTGTGTTAATTAAATATCCCTAGCAGCCTGGAAAATACTGATGTGTTCATCCTTTTCTTCTCACCTCAAGAGTGAGCCGAAAGAGGAGAGTCCATCTCTCGGCTACATCCTTCCCAAGCTAGATTTTTACCCTAATAAAATACGAAAACTGACAGAAATAGGCAGAGATATAGAAAATTCATGAAATTATACACTTTTGAGCCATTCATTTAAAAAATATTGAAGATGTACCGAGCTCCAGTGCTGGGGTTGCAGAGGGATAGCAAAGCCGATTCCTGGGACCTTCTCTCTTTTGTCAGATCTGCTTCATGATTTTACCTCCAAATGAACAAAGAACTGTTCCAAGTGAAGTACCAGATATCTACCGAGGGCAATCCTAGCAACTGACAATTCCATTTCTCTTGCTTAGATGTTGAATGCATTACCTATTCAGCGCCAAAAGAATATGCACGGGCTCTCGTTTTGAATGGAACGAAATCTAAAGAGATGAAATAATCCCATTTTCAGGCACTTGAAAGAATTATTTCAGGGTACTCTGCATCTTCTTAGGTTTCAGAGATCCCTATGATGAGTGTGACTTTTCCCTTTGAGTGTCTCTAAAGTAAATTCCACTGTCTTCCCGGTCCTGTTGTTTTCCTTAATCTTCATGTAGCTTTGCCCTGTCCCCTCAGCTCTGCTCTGCTTTAGGTAGGGTGTGTTCATTGCCGTGGCCCTGCTTCTGAGGCAAGGCCTGGTGTTTGAGTGCTTAACAAGGGTTTGTTGGTGAATAACAACACATATGTAAGGAAGAGTGGCCCTTATTTTGAGGAACTGTGGTTTAATTAAAGAGGAGAAAATCCAACTGAAGAGAAAATATGTGACACGTGGGAAGTGCATTTAAAACATTTTTCAAACATTCTAGAAATGAAAGCAAAACATTGCATTGTACTACATAAGAGGAAATAGGAATGGTGGGCTGCTTTCTCCTGGTGGGCCTCATCCTTCAGGATGCTGGCCAGGGCTTCTCACACCCAGATCGCCTGTCCCAACAGCAGCAAGGCCAGCTCCATGTGCAAACGGCTCCAACTCTCTGCAGTTGGCACACTCCCTGCTGTCCTGTTAGCCCAGGACAGTCTAAGAGCCACGCTCACTGGGTCTGGGAGCACAGGAGCAAAGAGCATGGACACAAAGACATACACAAATGGGACCCACTACAATCTACCTACCACAGAGGGGCAAGGGTGTCCCCAATATCAGCCCCTAATAATATATAGTTTGGAAAAACTGAAACCCCAATATGACTACAGTACACACAGATACACACACACACACACACACACACACACACACGAACACAGGCAGAGAAAATACTCAGAAATGTGTTAACAGTGCTTAGTACAGAATTCTGTATTTTTTTAACATTTAAAGAATATGTTTCCTTGTATCGCATATTTTTTAAAAGAAAGAAGTCTGGAAAATAATACAACAATATGATTAAGAGTGATATTTTACTTATTTTATTTTTATGTTATATTTTCCATGAATTATGCACCTTTTAAATTTTTTTTTCTGTACTGGGGATCGAACTTAGGACCCTGTACTTGCAAGGCAGGCCCAGTGCCACTGAGCCAAATCCCTGGCACCAGGAATTAAAATTTTTATTTTCATGAGTACATATTTGCAATAAGTAATGATCACATTCATCAAGGGGAGAGGACACATGTACACAACACATCTTCATTCTTTTTTCATCTCCTTCCCCTCCTCTCCCTGCTTCATCTCTTGTTCCTCTTCCCATTTGCAAAAGATCTAAGGAGAAACATGTACTTTTGCAGTGAATGAGACACACGCACACACATGCATAAACCCATACAATGTCACCTACACTACAGAGAAGGTTCCAGCTAGGTCTCCGGTGTGTTCTTCCAATGGTCTTTCTTCATCATGACACCGGGAAGGACGAGGCGGGCGAGAAGTACACATAATAACAAATTGTTCTAGCAAGCTTCTTGCTCCCTCTCCAGATCTGGTTTGGAAGCTTGCACCTCTCACCGGTTGCTTTCTCTGTTTCCTTTCAGACGTCCCGCTGGCATGGAAAATGTGTCCCTCGAGTTTGTCTGGTCAGAAGGGACCCTCGAATTCACAGATGAAGCTGGGACACTGAGGCCTTTCACGCACTATGAGTATCGGGCCAGAGCCCAGAACTCCAGAGGCTGTGTGGACAGTGCCTGGTCTTCTGCACGGACCCTGGAGGCCCCTCCGCAGGCCCTGGCAGCTCCCTGGGCTCGAGCCACCGGAGCCCATTCTATTCTGCTGACCTGGATGGAGCCAGAGTCACCCAATGGCCTCATCTCCCAGTACAGCGTGGTCTACAGAGAGAGCACCGAGGACCTGGCACCAGGCAGCGCCCCTGTGCGCGCATTCACAGTGACGGTAAGGCCCCAGATAGCAGGTACCTGCTTGATATGCTGAAGTTCATTTCCTATCCAGCTTGTCATTTTTCTTAAATATATGAAAATCTCTTACATGTGTGAAGAAGCAATGTGGTCATGAGGATATGATATTGAATGGAGTCTGAGGAATACCAGGGTCTAGTTTGTAGACTAACTTAGCTATGGACAGCTAATTTACATTACTGCAAGCAAACGCATCCATCTCTCTTTGCCTGACTTCTACTTTCTGTATCCATTAAATGGGGATAATTCAGTGGGTCCCTACGTATCTCATAAGGATGAGAATAGTAAAACTAGACAGAATACTTAATTTTCTACTTCCTCAAAAAGCCAATTTTTTATACATATTTCATTAAAGTCCCATGCACTATAGAAGTCACATGTAGCATAGCTTCGTGGTGATATTTTTTTCTGGACTAGCCCACTCTGATGTACAAAGCAACTTAATTCTATTCACCTGGTGTCTCCTTCATGCCTTCTCGATTCCTACACAGCCCAAAATCCTATGAGTGATACAGGAACATGACCGTCCTTGTCTCTGAAAACACCCTCTTTTATAACACCACACCGATGAGAACTACACATACGGGGAAGAATGAGAAGTCCATAGTGCATGATACCCTGAGACTTAGATCCCAAACTCTACCTCTGACCAGCCATAAACTGCACTACAAGAGAAAATAACATCACAGCCCGGAAGTGTTGGGCACAAATGCACTGTGTCAGCAGGAGGCCTCCGCTGCAGAGGCCTCAGGGAGAAGGTGAAATGTAACAGTCCTAGGAGTTAAATACATGCAAGGGGTGATCACAGACTATGATGAGTGTTTACATTTTAAGAACTTACTACAGTAAAAGACACATTGCCATTGGTCCCCCTCAAAATACTCCTCCTCACTTTGAACACATTTATTAATCCCACCATTCTGGGCACTTTGTGAAGCAGCTCTGGATGTCCTCTTTCAGGAGAGGCTTCACAAGGTATGATTAAAAATACACTGAATGCTGCTGCCGTGTGCCATGCAACAGAAGAGCAGGCTTGTAAAAACATTACAGTGTCTCTTCATCCACCTTATTCACAGGTCTAGCAACATGTGGCTTCGGGCTCTTCCCCAAAGTCAAAATGACCATGAAAGGTAAAGGTTTTGCAATACTTCAGGACATCAAGGCAGCCATGACAGCACAATCAAAGACACTCAGGAAACAGGACTCCAGAACTGCTTCAGAAATAGAAAGAATGATGGGATGAGTGGGTTTGAAGCAAGGGAGACTGTTTTGAGGAAGACTCATGATGATGTATCTCAAATTGTAAAAATTTTTTATTTAAACATCATATTTTTAATCAAACCTCATATATAGTTTTCAAAATGTGCTGAAACATTATTTAATATGGAAACCCTCAGGAATAAGAACAAGATGTACAAACAGAATAAAGCACTATTTAAAAGAGAACTATATTTCTACCCTAAGAAGCCCAGTTTGCAAGAAAGTTTTAGAGCTTAATGTTTATCGAGATATCTAAACAATAAAAATAACTTTTAATGAAACTCCAGAAGAATCTTTTTAATGGGTAGTTTAAAATACTGTACAATGGTTTTCTATAACCTTTATATGTACTTAATTGCTCATATGACTAACAAGCAACATGTGAGTGAAAGGATAGTATAAAGAAACCTTCATTTTTATGTCAGAATTGGTACTTTGTTTTTCTGTTTTATACTAAATTATCTGTATATACCAGGATTTTTCATGTCATCTCCTCTAGATATTTCATTGTAAGCATTAGAAGCAATGTTCTTAGGACTAAAATATCATTTTTAGTTGACCTGTGCTCCGTTGGGAGATTTGGTTGCTTCTCACATATTCTCAGAACTCATATTCTAAACTTTCATCCTTAAAGTAAAATTTTTCTTGAAAATACTACAACACTCTTGATAATGGCTTTCTTAATGAGATATCATAATTTAAGTATGATTTATTGAAGGCAAAAGACTGAACTTCTGATCTTTCTGGATTTCCAGCCTAATCATTTAATCTCCCTACACAGTTCCAATGGAATTCTCTTTCAGAATGGTCTGCATATGAGGCAGTCCTTCATAGATGGCTTTGTTTAAAACACATGATTTCAAGTATCTGAGGAGTCCTTTGACAGCTCAGTCTTGGTACACACTTCCACTTTTTCTAAAGATGATTCCTTGTAATGCTGAAGAGAAGAACCAGAATAATCAAGAACCAAGAATGTGGTAATATCATTTCAGAATGTGTGCCTGTATTCCACGCCCCTCTCCTAAACTTGGATCTCTGGCCCTGAGGACCAGGGCAGCTTCCATTAGACTCATCAAGAGAGTCCCATCTGAGCTTCTCAAGCCATCAAGGGCATAATCTGTGAAGCAGTCCATGCCAGTGTTCTGGGGCTCCAGTCACTAGAGCATCTGGCCACTGCGACTCTTTTTGAACAAATACCTTTGCAAGAGGCCATCAGGAAAATAAACGACTGTGCTGGAGTTTAATCCATTTCTGAATTCCCTGTGTGGAGAGTGTGTTGAACTCTTTAAAAATAATGATTACCCCCCCAAAAAATAAAAGATAATCCACTTATCTAATGTTCTCACTTCCCCCACAGCAGGGAAGAATTCCCTTTGATGGCAGCCAAATCCTCTGTCCTGTAACATAAGCCCATCTATTTCTGTTCAGAACAGCATGACTTCTCTACACTAGTACAGGAGTCTTGTAGGGTCAAGAACAAATTATTGACAATTCAATCAAATTTGGCAAATGCTCATTGAGAACTATGTTCAATACATCAATACTGCGTACTATGCTCAGTTGTATTATTGAAGTCTACTGTGAGACTTGGCTTTTGGACAGAGCCCGACTATAGGGGATGGTGGGTAGTCACGTCTCAGACACAGGTTACTACTGCTGGGCACTTTGATTTCTGTGCTTCTTGCTGCAGAGTTTTTGCTGTTTGTATTTAGATAACTCCCTTTCAAATCTCACTCCAATTACCTTCCTGAATCTACTTGCTGTCTCTCTCTTTCCGATCCCATCTGAACATTTTACTGTCTTCTTCCCCTCTATGCTTGCCCGAGGATATTTTTCAAGTTTTTGCTCTTTGACCACACTGGCTGGGATTCTCCAGAGCAAAGGAATTACATTTGTTATTCACAAGGCACAGAATCCATCCCCACAATTGCAGGGTTACAATTCAACCCACATATTTTCAAGAAGCATTGTTAACACCCCTTGTTCAGTCCCTTCTTTAGTGGGTTCCCGTCCCAGCACACAGGGCCGCCAATAAGTTGCCCATGGTGTGGAGCCATCATGAGCTTGTCTCAAGGTCCCCCAGAGTTGTTTACAGACAGGTGGATGTTGCTGAGAGCCACATAAAGCAGGTGCAGTGGAGGCATGGCTCCTGCTGCTGGTGGCAGTGGATGGAGAACTGGCAGCGGGGCCCCTCCATGGGGGTGAAGAGCGTATGTGTTGGCAGAAGCAGTGGCGGCAGCAGCAGAGGCAGCAGGAAAAGTGTGGGTTTAATGCATCACTAGCTTCTCTCCCAACCTCATGAAAAGTCATGTCCCTTTGGGTCTAAGAAGATCCTTCAAGGAGAGAAGACAGGTAGCAAGATGCTTAGGGTCTCTTCAGGCCAGTCTTTTTCCCTATTGAAAAGAAGCCTACGTTAGAAGTCCTGAAGCTCCCCTCCCAATTAGCTCTGTGACGAATTGTGCAGTGTCGAGAGAGAAGCTGTATTTAGCCTTGCTTGGCATGCAAGAGTTCCATGGTGGTGCTTACAGGAACACTCCTGGCGAGGCTGGCGATACTGCTCCCACCATTTGAGTTTGTTTCCTTTTGCTCACTGGCACCTGCCATCGTGCTGGCCGAAATAACTTGGGATTTAAAGGCAAAGGTGGTTTACCTGTTAGTCTGTGTTCTAAGCATATCTGTTTGCCCCATGGGATGATAAAGCATCCAGTCCAGATCATGCACTTGCCCACGCCCTGCAAGATAGATGGTGCTTTGTTCTGTGCATAGAATCAAGCATGAGGTATGGAGGGGTAAGCAAATTATATGGGTCACTAGAAGTTGGCCTCTATCTGAGAATAAAATCCAGATTTACAGACTCTGATTTCTGGATTCTAGTTGCCAAATTCCCTTTCCCAATATCAAAGAAGAGGTACTCAAGTGAGTGTCCCCAAATCTTACCATTAAATGGATATGTGGCCAAAAAAATTAGGAGATACTTCATAATTACCCAGTCATGGAGAGTTTGTGAGTACACTGATCAATTCACTTTAATTCCATTTTATTTTGACTTACTATAAGGTAAAAATTGACTGTTCTTTACATATTTTTGTAAACCAGGTGTAGCTCTTATAAATTCATGGTTCTTAGCTTTTACTCCCCAGACTATTTCTTAAACAAAAGAAACACTCTGGAAGATGTCAATCTCTTAAAAGTCTCTTTCAATGCTCCTTCTAATTTGAAGAAAAAACTGGTAATGAAAATAATCTCCATCTTTTGTGTCAGTTGTGTAAACTGAGATTTTCCCATTTTATGAGAACTGTGTCATTCTATATAAAAGACACAAAACAGGAGTAGGTAAATGTTGGACGAAACAATGAATACTCGACACTGTTCAGTTTCTTATTTTAAGTATGTATTTGGCTTGATATTAATTTTTCATTTACTACCCTTTCGTGATCTTCATCCCTTTTTTTCTAATCATACCCTGTAAGTCTCAGACACACCTACTACTTTTGTTGGACATTATTGGAGATGAAAACTATTGGAGATGAAAGCTATTGCCGGATATATAGTCTTCTTGAATTCCCTACAACTGCCTCTTTGAAAGAGCTTTATTTTTCTCCATCACTTTATTCCAACAAACCCTACTGACACTATCAGCACTATCGGCCATGTGCAAGGCAGGTCTTCTGGTTTTCCAGAAACTTTTTTTGTTTGTTTGGTTGGTTGGTTTTTTGGTACTGAGGATCCAACTAGGGACCTTGTGCTTGCAAGGCAGGCGCCGGAACCACTGAGCTAAATCCCCAGCATCAGTAACTTTCTGGTGACATGAACTAACTCAGATTTCATAATCAACACTTGTGTCAGGTGCTTTTTTTTAAATCCAGTGTAAATCAGAGGTGTTGTGTCTACAGTGAAGATCACTGTTTTTCCTCCCATTTAGTTCCCTCTTGTTCTCTTACTGATCACTGCCTTACACAAAAGCCCTGTTCTGATCCACCCCTCAGGGCCCACTGAGCAGTTGCCTCCTGGAATTTTCTTTGTGTTACACAGAGGCCCCTACAGGAAGCTCTGTTCCACTCAATACAGTTGCTCTAACTAATTTCTGCCCTTTCTTACCTTTCCTTTAGTGCACCAGGGGTCCGCCCTACAACCTCTGGCTTCTGTAGCCCCTCCCTCCAGCAAGCAAGCTACACTTACTGTTCCCCAAAATAGTCTCATTCCCATCCTCTTCTATAACTAAATGGCCAGATCATCCAACCAGATCACCTCTGAGTTCTCCCTCTTTGTTTCCATGTCCAATTACTTACAATTCCACTTCCAAACTGTACCTTGATTTCTTCCTATTTTTATATTTACAATATTCATTTATTTATTGGTACTGGGGGTTGAACTCAGGGCCTTTGCACTGAGGTATATCCCCAGCCTTTTTAAATTTTTATTTTTGGGAACAAAGTCTCATTAATTTGCCCATCCTGCGCTCAAACTTGTGAACCTCCTGCCTCAGCCTACCGGAGTGCTGGGATTACAGGTGTGCACCACCACGCCTGGATTTATTCCTCCATCTTGAAGACCACATTTGGATCTTCATACATTTCCTCCTCCTCAAACAATCATCCCCCTGCACTTAATCTGTCCTTCTTCCTCTCCAAGTCTGAACTACACTGTTACCTATCTCACAGAAGCACTGTACTAGCCAGTCACTTAATGCATGTGCAGCGTACTGGAAGTGGCAATGTAAGAAGACTGCAAAACTTAGATGTCCTACCTTTGAAATAAAAGATTTGAATAAATTAGCAATTAGATAAGATTCTTTGTACAAAGCAGCTATATGAATTTGGTCACGAGTGAATCAAGTGTTTTACATACTTCAAAAGTTCTTCACCTTGCAATAAAATTCTGAGTTTGCAAATTGGAATGTTTCCTGTTCCCATGGTATCAATGTCCAGATAATTTCCCAAGTACCAGATTTGGTTCTATTTCCTTTCTAAGGTGCCTGGAGTGAGAACATGTTAGTCCCCCTGAGGTTGAGTACTGTCCTGTCTCCCCACAGCATCTCATGCCTGCCCCTCTCAGAGTTCTGCCAGGAGATGCCCTTTCTGCCTGCTGCTGTTTCCCTCCCATGGCATTCAGGGAACCTTTCCTTCCCCTTGGATCTGGGGTCCTATCAGTAGAACTTGAGGTCTTCTGCGCACACACACACCCCCAAATCATCCAGATAAATTCTGCCAAATCAGTATCTGGCACTTCACCAGTGCCAAACCATCGACTCTCAGTGCGTGAGAGGCAGGTGATGGGAAAATTGTTTGACTTTTGGGCCATGTTCTGTAGCCATTTTCCAGTCTTTAACCAAGTTATGAAGAAACCCTATTTAGAATCCCAAGGATTCTTGAAACAAATCCAAGAATTCCAAGGATTCTTGAAACAAATCCTATGAGAGTGAATTGAACTTGTCTACATACTAAGAGGCCCAGCCCATAAATTCAGAATATATGCCATTTAGCAGAGATAGCAGGCTATAAATGGCAGTGAAGGGCAGAAGTTAATCGAACTAGTCTGCACTCATCACAAGTGGAAAGTCACCACTACCTGAGACAAGTTGGTGGTGCCTATAGTGCCCTGTGACCACCCAGAGAGCACACCCTCTGCTCTATAAGGGCTTATGGGTGAGGGGGAAATCATACACAGATGACCGATGTTTTTATGGTTCACAGCCAATCAAAGTGAAATTCAGCAGCTGTTCAGGACAAGTGACCACTGTAACGGCTGTAATATAGCCAACTAAATAGAGAGGGAATTGCATTAGAGCAAGAGGTTAGCTGTGATTATCGGCAGGTGAGTGCTTTATTGAAGTTGAAAGACCATTAACATTGATAGAGTAATTATTTCAACTTGAAAGTAATTACCTTGATGGGTGATAACTTCTCTAGTGTTCCCAGATTTGATTGGGCCAAACAATTGTGAGCTCCTGAAGCCTAGAAAAATATTACAACAATACTGTGATTTTTAAATTACTGAAACCACTGTTGGAATATACTAATTATGCCAAACAGTGAAAAGGTTTTGCCTCACACAAGCTAGTGACCTCTCATGTAGAGAGATACTTGCTTTTTAATCCAAATGCAATGACCCACACCCACCACCTGTGAATACATAGGTGATGGCTTTGCAAATGAATCTTTCCATCTCGATATCATTTTTAAAGTGAAAACTCGTGTTAGTGCTGTACCTGGATATTACTAAGCTGAAACTGCTAGCATCATTGATTATATCTACGAAGTGGAAGGATGTAGAATAGGAGCTATTTTCTGTCTTTGTCACAAAAGGTTTAAATTTGTATAAGTTAAATATTTTGATAATGGCATCACACCAATAGAAAATTCTGAACGCCATGAATTGTGGATCCTATATTTCAGATGTTATGTAATCATGTAATTCAGTTATTCAAGTAGCTTTCTTGCCCATTATCATTCAACTCTGCTACAGACCAGTCCTTTGTCAAATGTTTTGCATTTATCTGGACATCGACAAACAAAATGAAAGTTGAAAACCTGGGCTATTGCTTTTTTGAAATCTCATGAATGCTTGAAAAGTGCAAGTTATTTGCAGTTGATCTATCAGACCTAATTTGGTGATCAAGACCAAGAAATCTTGTGGGGCCCAGCCATTAATCAATTGTTCACCAAATTTCTTTTGAGAATTTACTATGTCCAGAAACTACAATAGATACGGAGAAGAATGAGTCTGTTCTCTCTGGGACTTCTGGTATCCTTGGAGAAAGATGAGAGGCGAATTACAATCTAACAAGCAATTATTCGGTTAGGCATAGGCATTGACTGTGCTCATAAATATTTAGAGGAACTGAGGAGAACGTTACCTTACACAACTGCTTCTAAATCCAGCGTTCGTCCTACAAGACCACGACCATCGACAGGACTAACACAGGCATCATGATTCTTAGTGCTCCTGTCAGAAAAGATGAATGAGACATCACCTGAAGGCTCCTGGAATGATGCTCTGGGCCTTTCTGTCACCCTGGCAGGATTGGATCAGACAATCAGCCAATGAATGACTCTCTTTCTGGCAGCACCTCCCAGGAGTTTTTTCCAGTCAAAATCTCAAGCTGTCCCAGGGACAAAACAGGTTTCCACCTGTTGTCTCAGAGCCAATAAGGAATGGTTTTCCAAGGAGGTAATGGGTTTCCTCCATCTCCCCACCTTGATTCTGGATTCTCCTCCATAGACAAAGTCACTGAGTTGCTCTTTCGGAAGGAAAAAACGTGCAGAAATCCTGGTGGAGCCAAAAGAGATTTGCTAACTGAAAAATAAAATGGCTGGCTTGAATTTGGTGGAAGAGTGGGGATTTGAGGTGAAATGCACCACTTGGGGGAGAGATATGAATTTACGAATTTACGAATTAAATTGCAAATCTTGCCATTAAGCCAAGCAAAAAGTAAAGAAATGTGACCAGTGTGACGTCCTGGCAGAGTGGGCAAAACAGGCTCACCGTGTGTCATATACAGCTGGGCTGAAGACTGTATTAAAGAGCCCCTTAGGCACTCTGAATTTAAAATAAGTGTAATAACTCATTTTTAAACATTTTATGTGATACTTGGATTATTAAATATTCACATTACAAAATCAGAGAATTTTAGTCCATTCACAAAGGTGCACCATCTAACTCCAAAAGATAACGGGCATGTCTGGATAGTAAAATTACAGTATTATTTTTAACACATGTAAATGTTACTTTTTGACAAGACACAAGTAATGAATTTTATCGTATAAGTTCCTATTGGGTGATTATGATACAGAGTTTTATTTTTGCTAAAGCAATTACTAATGTCATGGCTGGATACCTGTGCCCATTAGTGGCTGGTTCTGTGTTTTTTTAGGACGGTTATTGATCTCTTGCTGAGCTGAGATTCAGGTTTTATGCCAGATAGCTTGATTAATGGGTTGGTTTCTATAAGCGGACTGAATGGGGATAGAAAGCAGGGGCAGCCTGCTTTGCCAACCCCAAATCCATCAAGACGCATAGCTCATTATGAAACAGTTATCAAGGATACATGAAAAATTAATTGGGCTCAGTTTGATTCTGAAAAGAATCGGCTTTCTACTTGGCGGGGCCTCCCACTCTTTCCAGATGTTGTACGCCAGCCCCTGGAGAAGCAGCAAAGGGAGATGTATTAATACATTGTATTGATTAGATCAAGACCCCTGACAGTTATTTGTAGAGATACCATCTGGCTGCTGCTCGAATTCCTTCACCAAAAACAGGACGTGACATGTTATTAATCTCAACTCTCTAAGTATAGATAGTTGCCTTTTCTGCTAAAGCGCATTTTACCATTCCGTGGGAGATGGAGGCAGCCCTGAAGGGTGTAGAAATTAAGGTTATTACACAAATTGAGCCATATGGTCCAAATATTTCAGCAAGAAAATTGCCAGGCAATAAAAATTGCTCCTGCCTTCCTAATGGTGTAAATTACAGTTTAACCATGGCTCTAATGATGTCCTTCTGCCGCGCTTAACTACTGTTACATGAAGGACATTGTTTTAAAAATATAAAAAACAAGTAAATGCCAGCAGTGTGTTTTACAATCTGTTAGTGTGTCATTAAGAACACTGTCAGAATTACATAAACATAATGGCAGGCGAGCCAGCATACAAAAGAACTCGGATGGAAATGCAGTCTTGAAAATTCTCTTCTTTATCCTCATAATGTCCAGAGCATGGTCCCCTCCACAAGTTTGTCAGGAAGAAGCCCTGTCCACTGCTTTATTCTGGTTCTTTCCTGTGGCCCGACAGCAGTGTGTCCTAAAGCAAGATGCACAACCAATTGCATGTCCACACACACACACACACACCACAGACTCCCCCCAGGTGTCAGAAGGCTGGACACACCAGACAAGGGGAGAGTGGAAGATTGCAAACTACACGGTACAAGTTGACCTTGGTCAGTATTTCTATTCAGGAAGTGGGAAAAGACTCCGCCAACATCCTGAACAGCGACAAGTATGACGGGGCAGTGGCAAGGACTATGGGAAGTGCAAGTTTTGCTACATTTCTGAAGAAATCCACCCTGTTGTTGCCAGCGTAATAGTAAGAGGAAGCTCATTCAAAGCAACTGTCCCCATTTTTATATTTAAACAACTGGTTTTTTAAAAATAAAATATTCCCAGCAGTTCCAGCAAAGGTGTGGAGGCAGGTGACCCGCAGCACCAACTGAGGTCAGGGAACGCAGGTCAGAGAGGGCACCTGGCTCCGCCCTGTGCCTGCAGCCCGGTGCTCCATCAGAGCACAGCACCCCGTGGCCCGGAGTAGCTCAGGGCCCTGGAGTAGGCTTCAGAGGGAAATCAGTACATGAAGCTGTCAGCTTGTCGCATGTTGACAGTGCCTGTCTGGAAACACTAGTCCAGAATTTCAAGCCTGTGCACACACAAGGGAAAAAGAGTCTTCTCTTCTTGTTTCGCCTTCATCCTCCAATGATCTTTCCCCCCAGTATGGACTACTCAGCCAACTAGGTCAGCTCCCACAGAACGGCCTTGTGGCCTCGGACCCCAGAGGCGGCAGGTAGTGGGAATGGGGACACAAGACACGATGCTGCTGGGAAATGCAAGGAAGCTCTCTAGAAACCCCACCTGAGACCCCGAACTCCTCTAGAATATTCCCAAAGCCCACAGTGTCCTCTGATGGCTCGCTTAGTCTGGGTCACAGCCTGCTCCCCGGTGCATCTGCCTGTGATGTCACCACTGCCTGTGACACTAGGGGCCATCTCACCAGCCTTCAGTCACAGAGAACTGGTCACAGCCCAGGTGACAAGGACACACTCTGCCTGCCACCTGCGAGAAGAGCCCTTAAAAATCCGAGAGGAAGGGAAGGCAACTTACTCCTCCATCCTGGCTGCAGACTTCACTGTCTCGGGACACAGTGTGGGGCTATCTTTCTTACCCAAGTGTGATACCTGATGTATAGGAAACTCAATATCTACATGACAGCAACCTCCTAAACATCGCTGTGCACCTTGAACTGTGACTAATGTTCTTTCTTCACGGCTTCCCACATTAGAAATACCATAATTAGCACATTCAGGTTGAACACAGTGTGGGCCTCGGGAGGATGCATCTCCTCGTCCTTTCTCCTCAGAAGTTACCCGGTCATCCGGGGGATTTAGCTCAGTGGTTCCACCGCCTGCCTCGCAAGTGCAAGGACCTGAGTTGAATCCCTGGTACCAAAAAAAAAAGAAGAAGAAGAAGTTACCTGGTCATCATACCACACACCTTGGCATTTTTTTCTGAACAGAGCAATAATTATTTATTAGTGGAATATATGCTTATTATAGTCAGGAATTAAAGTTGTTAGGGGACATTGTGCATCCAGGTCCCTGTGGCTGGAAGATCACATCTGTTAGAAATAAATCACTTTAAAAAATTATATTAGTCTCAAATGGATCAAGGGGAGGGGGCCATGCACAGGGTGAGGATGCTTGATTTTCAGTCTTGTGAAATAGAGTGTGGTCAATATGCTGTCAGCACATTACAGTGTTCAGACACCAATGCCGTATTTCGCCTCTTTGAACCCCAGGTGGCCAATTAACAGGATGCACTACTTATTCATTACAAAATAGGCAGGGTAGACTCAGTGGTTAGATTGGCTAACAAGAAGTTTTAGCGAGGAGTAAAAGAAAAGACGATGCAGGAGGAGAGATCAAAAAAAAAAATCTTCAGGGAATTCGAGAAAATAATCTGGAGAAATTTTCCTCTTAAATGTATCTGTAAGCAAGGAAATGTAAGTGGAAAGATGCCCCTTTGCATAGCTTATCTCCCTAAAATACGCTATCTTCAGTTCCCCCATCTGTGTTTGCTGAGAGCAGCCTTTCTTCCTAGGGCAAAAAGACACTCTTAAATTACTTCCCGCAATTGTTAGTATCACAGGCTGTTTGCAGCAGCTTTTTACAGCAGCAACGCCTTTCCTTATTTACCATTTAGTACCTTCTCTATTCATCTCCCACCAGCAGCCCTGCTTGTGGATTTACTTGATCTTGTGAATACTCACTTTTGCAAATGTGAAAGAACTTAAAAAGGGATTATAAAATGCTCTATATAATTAAAAATCTCATTGAAATCTATGAATTAAATGTATTAATTCATCCATTTTCATTTCATAGCCATTCAAAGCTTACATGCTTCAGTATATGTGCCATATATAACTCTCCCTCCCTTCCTCCCACCCTCCTCTCTCTCTGTCTCTCTCTCGAACTCTCCATGGTGTACATCAGAAGAAAAAGCTGAGGAAAGAGGACACGGGATTTTCCTCTGGTGTGACTTTTCCACACAGTGTCAGTAGATCCCTTGCTCTGAGAATCTAGACACTAAGCTGATAGCCGTTTCCAGAAATAAGATAGATCAGAAAGAAAAGTGACTGTTCCTGTTCTCTACCTTTTGGAAAACTTGAAACTCCCATCCAGAAATCGAAGACTCTGCATCTGGCTGCACTTTTGTGAAATGATGTGACCGAGTGTGAACCCAAATGTCAGCTGTGTCATTTAAAATCAGTGTTTGTTTCAGCAGTGCATTTTTCTAAAGGGAAAGGGTGGTTCTAGTGTTCTACTCTGTGTCTAGTTTTGAGCCCCAAGCAGAGAGCTCCACGCAGAAGGCTGACCCCTTCTTCACACTGGACCAGAGCCTCACGCCGGGCAGCCACAGCCCACATAGGGTGGCTGAGACCCTGAACCTCTGCGTGTCAGTCCACGGCCAGTGCTGCTGCACCTAAGCAAAGGGCTCAGGAAAATCTCTGGCCCCTTTTTGGATAGAATGATGCCCAGAAGTGGCCACCGCTCACCACAGTTCCCTTTTTTCTGTTGTTGTTGCACCCTGTTGGGGGAGACATCTGAACATCTCCTGCACCCCACTTCAAGACACCCAGCTGGAGGCTG